GTCATAAGAGGAAAGGCTGAAGGAGCTAGGTATGTTCAGCAGAAAAGGCACTAAACAGGGGGAATGGCAGCAATCTTCAAATATTGCTATTCCCTCAAAGAAGATGGAAAACACGTGTTCTCTCTGGCTGCAGAGAATGGGATGCAGACCAATGCCTTGAGAAGGCAGAAAAGTAGATTTAGACTAGATATCAGGAAAAACCTCTCCACAGTTAGAGCAGTGAAGTGGTGAAATAGACTGCCTACAGAAGTGGTGGACTCTCTGCCACTGTAGTTGTTCAAGAAGAATTTGGACTGCCACTGATTTGGAATGATCTAGGTGTAGCTATGCCTATGTTCTGCTATGGATATTTCCCATGCTTCTGGGCTTTGATGTTTGCTGCATGGGGTTGGGAGGGAATTCTCCCCTCATCCCCCCATTTCCGTTATATGTGTCACAGTTTTTTTTTTTATGCTTTGCTCAGAGGCATTGGGTGTTGGCTGAAACCAAGGATTGATATTTTGACTGGGGTATGCCAGTGCTCCTGCTGAGACTTAAAAGCAGAGGTTCCTGGCTTAGAGGATCTTGCCCCTCCACTCAGAGTCAGGCTAATCACCATATTTAGGGTCAAAAAGGAATTTTACCACTTGGTCAGATTAGTATGACTGTTGGGTTCTTTTGCCTTCCTCTGTAGTGGGGGTGGGTGGTGTAGCCCTCTTCCTAGGGTACCTTGATGATATATTAATGACTTGTACAGAAGCAGAATGTTGGCTGCTATGGTCCCCCTGCTTTACCTGTGGCAGGTTAGGGTTTTATATCTGGTATTGTATCAGGGTTGACTTTGTAATTGTGCTAAGAGGTTAGACAAGGGATTTGTATAGGGTAGTTTATGTAGGTACGATCCTGCCTCAGCAGGGGATTGGGCTAGATAACCTATGAAGGCTCCTTTCGGCCTTACTGTATGATTCTATGAACTTAAGAACAAAACTAGGAACATGGTTGAGCAATTAAGAATGGCCTGTTGAGGCAGTGGGAGTAAGAAAGAATGCAGAAAAATAGATGAGTCTGCTGATAGGAAAAAGTCCATATTTGTATGCCCTAGTAATACATTTTCATACAATATTTCCAGCATACATGCTGATACAAATGTTTTCATAGAATTGGGAAAATATTAATGAATGATTAGATCCTATAATTAGTAATGGAATGAGTGGAGACTTTCATTTCTAGGCTGCTGTTTGAATCAACATCAGGAATTACACGTTTTGTCTCAAGGGTCTTTGGTATATCAGCTCTACTTGCATACCACACAGTTTTTTTCCCAAAAACTAGCCCTCCAAAATTGGAATGCATTTCTTAAAGAGGGAAGCTGATGTTTCTTCACTGGAATGGAAACAGGGTGGAATGGGGAAAGCAGACACTATGACTCGTGGCTACGAAGGTCGCTGCCACTTCCCTCTGGGGCTGTTTCCAGTGTTAACTCCCTTACCTCTCAGCCACTGGTGAGGCAGTAGCTTTTGGCTGAAAAGCCAATGAGCTGAGCTGGCTGAGGATGACTGAGCTGCTGCATGCAGTCTGCAGGATCTTTATGAAACTTGTGGTGTGGAAGCAACACTTTATTATTTACAGGAACTTATATAAAGAGCTATTTACAGTAAGGAAGTAACAGTCTTGCATCTACCTTTGAAATGGTCTGGTGCCTAGCCTTGCTGCTGGGCTACCATACCTGAAAGTTTCTGCTGTCTTACCCAGACTGTCCCCTGGGATGCCACACTTCCTGGGCACTCTAGGCTGCTACACACATGTGGGGAGCCTGCTTTGACACGCTGGAAATCCAGCACATCAGAGCAGATTAATCAAGTCTGCTGGAGCATGAAAATTGATGCGCTCTGGCAGCCTTCCACATCAGGTATATCAGCATTGCCATGTGGCTTACTCTATGTTACACAGTCAACCATGATTATGGAAAAAATCTTTTTTTTTCCTATGTTCTTCCTTCCAAAAGCAAGGTGCTTGTTTTATTTTGGGGCGGGGGGAGTATATGATAAAATATGGTATATGGTCTGAAGGCTCTTTGGAAGTGTTGGCTGAGTATTTTGGGGACAACTGTTTACACTATATAAACTCCTGCTATGCCTTTATAGATTGTCATGTTTATCAAATTCATCAGAGAGGAATAAAAGAAAGGGGATGCTGAGTGGTGAAGCCATCCAGAGTAGACACAGATTGGTAAAGTCATTTATCCAACAACTTCCAGAACTCCATTATTCCCTATGTATTCAACATGCTGTCCTTGGGCATTGAGAAATTCAATGGGAATTTTACTTGAATAAGCATTGGTGGCTGAAGGTTCCTTTCATAGTTACAGGTCTCCTTGTCATTTTGTTGGAGGAAGCTCTGAAATGTGAGAGACCATTGTTTCAGGCAACAGTCTGACAGAAACAGTACGATCAGTTTCAGCTAGGTTCCTTGAAATAGAACTATTCCGCAGGAAAATCGGAAAACCAAAAAATACAGCACCACAAGAAGGAACATATGTGCTTCATGGCACTACAGCCTGGTAGATGACCTCCATTAGAAAGAGTAGTGCATGACCTACATGGGAAAAGTCTGCAGAATTTATATCTAAAATGGCTTTCAGAAAGCATTTGCTTTATACTTTTTTCCATCTAACATTGCTGAAGATGGTGTAATAGGACTCTTGTGAAGAAGTGACAAGTGTACAAAGTAGGCGCTTATTTCAGCATATGTTCTCTCCTAAGATGTGTACATATCCCCCCCCCCCCCCCCCCCACTTCTACACCCCCCCCCCCCCCCCGAACATATAACTTTATGCTGGAAAGTAATCACCTATAACCTCTTTTCCATTATTTAGTAGAAAAAAATATTTGCCACTTGGTATCTAGTGTTGAAAGTCAAGGAACTCTGCTTGAGGAATGTATTCATGTTCATTTTGTATTAATCTACAAAGAGTTTTTGTAAACTTTATATATTTATGCTGAAGTCAGTAGACATATTACTTGTCATCTTTAGTTCTGCCTCAGATTTTGCAACCAATTCATTTATTATAATTATTAAAAGAAAAGGACATAGCAGAAAGGGAGGAGTTTGAGCTCCCATCCACTGAATGGTTCAGTTCCTTCATTATCAGTGTTTAGTACTTTTTCAAGCATATGACTGGGAAGGGAGGAGATATCCAGATTCTGGTTCCTAAATGTTAATTATGTCCTTCCCTGACAGCAGGTGCTTTTTTGATACTCCTGAGAAATTGAAAAAAAAAATCCTGTCCTTACTCAGTTTCTTTTTGTAGATATGTGGCTCTTCCAGATTTGAAAAGGTCCTGTCAAGGGAAAAATATGCCTAATTTAAGGAGGCTCCCCTGTTATCTCCCACCATCTTAACTCCATCACACTTAGTCCTGAATGACCTGTGGACCCTTAACTTTAGGAGTTATTGGATTTGTTTAACGAGTTAGTTGCATAGGTTTTGATTATTTTTTTACTTCTTACAGTCATTTTAGGTTTATCTTCTTGTAATGTCTGGATGTGGTCCCCTTTGGATTTCCTGTTGAGACACTGGATAGGCTGAGAAAGACATAGTTGTCAGGAATACTTTAAAAATCTTGAGAGGTAAACTGAAGGAGACATTTCTAGGCATCCCGGAATTTACTCAGAACCCACAATGAGGCAGGAATGGAATTTTGACCAGTTGAACTGATTGTGAATATCAATATGAAGATACAACTTGGATGAAAGAAATACCATAGCATTTCTTGTTCCTATTCCCAAAACCCCACAGTCAGACGTTGAGATCTGCAAAGTCCAGGTTCTGCTGGACCTTCTTTTTTAGCATGGGTTGCAGTCAACAGTTCCAGCAGTTTTCTTCTAGGTGGTATGCTACTAGGAGGGTAGCTTAAAAGGCAAAGTTACAGGCAGCTACCAACAAGACCTGTATACAAAGTCCTGTATACAAATGCCTGTATACAAAGTAGATATGGAATACCTTGTGCAGTGTGAGGAAAGACGAACCTTCATGAGAAGAGCAGCACCTACAGAATTAAACTTCAAAGGTGGAAAGGACTGAAGTGGACTGTAGGGATGAAAGGACACTGGGTGTTTTGAAGCTGAATACATTGCAATGCTTTTGCATTCATGGATGAAAGCAGAATGGACAGACCCATTATTATTTTTTATTACTTTATAGTCAGCCTGCATAATTCTATTTCACAGGACTGAGTGGAGTGACTGGATTGATAATTTCATGAGAAGTGACAGTGTTTGGGTATTCAAATACTTAAATAAAATTTTAAGGGTCAGGAAAACACACCCACTGTTTTCCTTCACAATCCCCCAATGCACAACACTACAGTTGCTGAGTGCATTGTAGCTAACTAAGCATTGTCAGAAATAAGACTATTAAATTATATGGCAAAGAGGTCTCAACTGGAAGGGCTAGGTCTGTCAGGAATGTCGATGGCACATCCAGCAGAATGCAATCCTAGTGACATTTGATGTACTAATTATTTCATGCTGTTTCACTGAGAAATATGGCATGTGTACTGAACTCCACACCTCAGACACTGAAGAAGACCCCAAACAGATGCATTGTTAAAGGTCACTCCAGACAATGAGTGGTTAATTCTCAGAACCACTTCATAGTGAACTTGCTTTACCAAGTGGTATTTTTGAACAAACATGCAGTTTCAGTAAAATGGGGGTTTGTTCTTTTTCCTTAAAAGGAACTGGGTTAAGGTAGCAATAACCTTGGCACAGGCTATTTCCTGGGGAATTAATGACTGGCTGAGGTTAATGGTCCTCTGCTTCACCTCAAGCCATCAGCTCTCCTCAGTTAGTTATTAATTCCCCAGGAAAATGACTTATGCTTCAGTCATTACTGCTGAAGCATTGTAGGATTGTTATCATTGTCAAGGCTATTGCTTCTTATACTGTTTTCCCCCCTTCTTTTTCTCTTCAACAACAGCTGATGTTTTATTTTTCTATTCTAAAATCTTGATGTTGCAGAATGTTAAAGACAGCCTGGGGAGGTTCTCGGGTCAGATTGAGGTTATTCGCAGCAAGAAGACATCAGCTTTGCAAAGTGCCACACCTGGGGAAGCTGGAAAGATACAGGAAAAGCTGAGTCAGCTTAATTTCCAGTGGGAAAAAGTTAACAAGATGTACAGGGACCGACAGGCGTAAGTAACTTCTTTACATTGTTATTTATGATGAAGTTCATTAACATTTGGCTCACTATGTCTGATTGCCCTTTTGGGTTCTCTCTGTGCAAACTACATTGTGCATTCCAGAACCCCAGCTTCTTTAACTGAGTGCTGGAAAATTCTTGGAGAATTTGAATTTAAATACCCTTTTTTTTTACAGTCTAAAACTATTTTGAACAGCTGCCACTTGTATTACCCTTTGCACATTCATTGCCCCATGCTTATGGCCACTTACAGACATAAGGGGACCAACCCTGCCACCTATCCATGGAAGATCCATACAGAACACAGCTGGTGTAAGGATTGGAGCCTATAGTGAACTCTGCTTTATTCGCATAGAGTTTACACATTTCACAAGTACTCTCCATTTTAAGTCTATGGAATTGAAGTTCTAATTGGTAATATCTCCTAATCCAAAATGACCCTGTTAAGTTTTTCCTCTATATGTTAGATACACAAACGGAGTGAAAGACGCATTTGAAGGAAAATAGATTCAGAAGTGATTACTCATGAGATACACATTTTGTTATGTATTATCTTTCTTTTTCATTTGCTATTTTTATGTACTTGGAATTTGGGCTGGGAAGGAAATCAGGTTCTGACATAAAAAAAGAGCCAAACTGTCTTAGTGACTAAAGTCTGACTTACATTACTAATACACTGTGGGCAGGATCGTATTCCCCTATATGCACCCAAAGGGTAGTTTTCAGCTGTGCAAGTGGCACTTTTGTAAACTTACAAACAGTTTACAATCCTATTTCCAATGCAGAGTGGACATGTGAAAGTGCACTCAGCTACCGAGCAGGCACAGTGGGCTTTGTAGCAGCCAGGCAGGGTATACAAACAGATCCAGAATTTAACCCTGGGTGAACATAAGTCACAAAAATCTGCTGGCAAAAACCCATGGAGGAGGAGTGGAAAGAGCACTATCCTTCTTTGTTTTAGCCCCAACAGCCAGAAAGTTGGGAGACCTAGGCTCTAGAGTCCCAGTTGGGCACACGAAGGGAAACAGAATTGTGACCTCAGTCTTTCTGTATATCAGCTTTTTTGTTCTTTCTTCTCCGAATGTGTGGATAAGGCACTAACAGTCTGGATTTAGGGTATGACACAAGTGACACATCATTTTTATCTATTTTTTCACTTACCTTTACTCATGCTATTAGATCTAAAAACAACATTTGGAGCCTCTGCTCAGGTGGTGCCTTGAGTATAGGGCTTGGTAAGGGGAGATGGAATTTCTCCTTTTTCATGGGAGACCCATGAAAGTTTTGGCCATTTTCTTTTTGCTCCTTTAGGGCTCTTACATGTGGAATCCCATGGATTTCAGCCCCATCACTGATATTGTTCTGAATATGCTAATTCACTAGGTGATATTATGAAACTATACTGTTTTATCAATATGCCAGTGCTCTGTTCTACATCTCTCATTCATCAAGCCCAGTCAGAACTACTTTCCTGCTCTTCTCAGCTCTGGCAAAGACAGGGATGAGGAGGAATGCCAGCTGGCTTCGTTTCAAACTGGTTTAGATGGACATGATGCTTCTTGGCAGCTGTATGCATGTTGAGGAACTGGCAAAGATTATGGCTGTTCCCTCAGCTAAGAGCATCTGCCTACCTAGTTTCAAAGAGACTTGCAATCTCACAGTGTTACTAAGCTTATCACTGCTCTGGATTCCAAGACAGCAGTGGCAGCCAGAAAAGCTTATTTTATCCTCAGTTAGCCAAGTGACTTCATAGTTTCCTTTTAAATGCAGGCCTCAGTATGGTTATCCCCATCCCTCTGTCACATTGAACTGCACCTTGCTGTGTCCTCCAAGGCTACTCAGGGAGTTCACCCTCCTTTACTTTTAAAAGGGTAGATAAGAGAGGGCATGTTATAATTGTGCCTCAAACTCTGTATTGGTTGGCCATTTATTTTAATGTTCCGGTTGCTATATAAGCAATATAACATAAATGACCTAAATGATTTGCACCTCAGTTGTTTTATATTCTGCTGCTCACCCTATAAGAATAACCACCATTCACTTTCCCACATACGTGCCCACACTGGCTGCCACCAGTTCTTGAGCTAGCTATTTTGGAGTTAGCTTGAGTATGTCCATGCTATACTGCAGTTAAAGAAGTGATCACAGTGCAGGCACAAACTTAGTGTTGAATCAACCAGGGGTTTGCATGAAATATCAACAGTATTCAATAAGCACATTTATTTGCAACATTTGGGACTTAGTTTTGCCATTTCAGATCATGCCTTTAGTTTTGGGATATGAAGAACTGTCGATTCCATGTTTGTTTGTTTTTTAAATAGCTGTGCATTCATTTGCCTCCTTCTTCCTTCGCTTGTCCCATCTAAATGGGGTCACTGTTGTGGATCCCAGTGCTCTACTGGCTTCGGTCATATGCATATTCTTCTTCCAGCTTCTTCTCACTTAGGTCCCTCTCCGCTATATTTCTATATATACTGTACATACTTATATATGTGTATTCATTTGCCTAAACTCAGTATTAAAACAGAAGCTAAAGAAAGCTGAAAAGTGAACAAAGAATAAGCCAAGTGGTTGAGTAACAACTAATACATCACACTAGGCAGTTTTCCAGTCTTTTAGACTTACCCAGTTTTATGTCCTAAGCAAGGACTTTGGAGAAGCATGAAACAATGCTAGATGTTTTTGTAACCCCTTTTGTGTCAGCCTACTAGAAGAATAAAGAAGCGTTTCAGTGTATGGCATAACATCCAAGCCTTTAAGCCCCAAATACTATTGTTAAATGATCATGTGGAACAAAAGTACATCATTTAAAGCTACTCAGAAGTGGCTTCCTGCATTATAACTGTGGACCAAAAATACACGAAGAACTGCACATTGACTGTTTGTTTGTTTTCTGTCAGGCAAAAAATATTCCCCAAAAATTTAAGTTTAACTGTGTTGTTTTAATTTATTGCAACTTAAAGGATTACTGAAAAGAATTAAAACAAGAAAGTGTGTATGTACTATGAGTGTAATCCAGAACTTGGTGAAGTCAATTCTACATAGAATTTCTACACTGATTTTTATGGTATTCAAAAGATTTTAAAATGCCTTTGAAAGTTGTAAAGATTTTAGGAACAGATGTTGTTTTAACCTGTGTTCACTAACATGGTAACCGACTTTCTAAAACCAGGAAACATTAATTTATTTCTGCCCCTGTTTAGGCACAGAATGTGCATCTCTTCACATGAGCTCATCACACACATGTACAAAAAGACTGTGCACTGAATTTGGAAGAAAAAAAGGCACAGTTTGAATAATATCTCCAAAGCTGATGTAGATTTCATCATCAAGAATATGTGTTGGCATCATTCTTTTATCCATGTCCTAGGGGCAGAACTGCACTATCCTTTTGCTCCTTATAGACAAAGATAGCCAGAAGCAAAGTGCTAGAGGCCATATTGTCGTTCCTAATATCCCCCTAGCATTATTATGCAGCCCAAATACATTTCACCAACCACAGTGTACTACAGGGATATATCGGAGTTGAAAAGAAACTAATTAAGAAACCAATGAAATGGTGATGCAATAAAACTGACACCACAAGCAAAATATTAAGGAGTGGGGAAAATTTGCACAATTTCAGAAAACAGCTGAACTTATCACAAGCTTGAATCACTGTCAATCATGTTAAAGAGGGACAACTCACCTAGGCAAACTTGAGTTACATAATCATACTCAACACTTCTATAGTGCCTTTCCTCTGGTTGTCTAAACCCACTTTGCTATATTAATAAATTTAACCTCTAAACAACTACCAGTTGCAGAGTATTTATATCCTACATAAGGGTAAGTTGAGGAACAGATAAAATTGCAGCAGTGCCAGGCATGCAACAAAGTAGGGGTTCTTAGCTTTTACCATTACACATTGTTGCCTTTATCTGAATTAGTGGAAAAATATTTACACATGGGAGAGCCAGTCTGTCCACAAGGCTCTAGAAATTCATTTTATTATAGTAGAATATAAGAAAGTGGCTGAGGCTGTGTTTGGCAGGGGTTGGGTTGTGGCGTGGAGGAGGCAGGTGGGGGAAAATCAAAAGAGCCTTCTCCTTCCTCCCCCTTTTCCTTCCCAGACCTCTGTTCTCTGCCTGAGCTGTTCAGCATCCAATCTGTACTTATATTTCATCTTCACTGTTGCAGATGGCATTATGACAAACAAAAAAAAAAACATTTTTAATGCAGCCAGTGCTGAGTGTCTTATTTAGAAAAGGACCTGGAAACCTTCCCAGATTATACATCTGTCTTCCTAACTTACACTTCAGAGGATGAGACAACACAGTGATGACATGAGAGGATTAGTGAATTATTCTTCTCACTACAGCTTTCCCTGATTCTCCCCCCATCTCCCCACCGCCTCCCCAAACAAAGCATAGACACAAATAAAGCTGGTTACTTGATGGCTATCTAGAAAATAAAAGCTGAATACACTTTATACAAATCTGCATTGTGCCAGCCACTTTCAGTTCATTTCTAATAAACATCACAACCTGGTTAGTTTACTTAGACTTGGCTGGTAGGCATATCATTAGTGTGCAAGTCCTTCCTCTGTTTGCATGTTCAGTTCACCTCATTCTCCTTTTACATGCTAGCAATGGTGCTTAATTATAATTTGATTATTTTTTGGTGTAATCATTCCCCTACCTTTCCCACATAATGGTTTTGGGAACATTTCCTATATTTTCCCAGATAATATATTTTCATAAGGCTTACTTGAAGGAAAGTGATATCATAACAAGTTTTAGTATAATTAGGAGGAAAAAAAAAACATTAGAGCAAATTTCCTGTTGTTTTTTAGAGTGGATAAAAACAGGCGTAGTAATACAGTATGAGGAAATTTTAAAAATCAAGGCCAAACTTTTAACAGCATTGTTTAGGAATAAATGTACCACATTGCCCACAAACATTCATGTGCATCATATTGACAAAAAATGTACATATATAAGGATTTCCAGA